GCACACGACTCGCGTCTGTGCGTTATATAGCGAGCTACATTTATCAACTGTGTTTATATCGAATAAAGCTGCATTGCTCGTCAAATAATCTATACGTCGTAAGAAGTTTGTATGAACAGTGGTCGACATATTACGCAAATGGGCCGAAAGAGTCTGCGTTGCTTGACCGATATACGAAGAACAAAAGAAACTCTTAAAATCGCCTATGGTGGAACCACCGTTATTCGCGCTAATTGTTTTAATCAACTCGGCTTCTGAAACGACTGTACAACATAATCAGAAGCTATAAAAAGGACTTTCTGACCTAAAAAACTACAAAGAATCTTATTCGTTCCATTAAAATTCGCAAAAATCAGAAAATATCGAACCATATCAGCTTCCGAGCGTCCCAATTATCGCAGCTAATTGGTACCAAAATGGTGGCGGAGAATTCGGTTGACCAAGGTTCAAACAATCGTAATAATTGACCTTTCCTCTTCTCGAGTTCGAGCAACTAAAGGCTCACATAACGAACAGTCAAAATAACCAAGACCACATGTTTCCTCCAAGGTTCCAAAGTTACACGCTGCCCGGACTCCTAACCCGTATTGTTGAAAATTTTCCGAACACTTTGGAAAGTTACCGAGGAAAAGCGGCGGTCGCTCGGTGGAGAATATTTCTATATACCGGTGGTTGGCGCCTCTGCCCCGTCCTATCGGCCGTGTTCGTTTATTGTGCTTGTTACGGGCCGGTGTAGCTCGTACGGCTCTATCCGCGGCGGCATTACTATTCTTGGCGCGGATCGAATCCGCCGGTGGTGTGCGCCGCGTACGTGTATGCACGCGCTCGCCCGCCGTGTGTAAATACGTCCTGCACGCGTGTGGATGCAGCTTGAAAAAAGAGCGACGAGCCTCTAGAAAAGGGAACCTGGGGCTAGGTGTCCGCTCCGGAGAGAGACGCGATCGCAGGTTGCTCTTAACGCGTTAAGCGCGCAGCTCCTTTTGCTTTGCTTTCCATTTAGCCGGCACGTAAACGAACAAATTGCGTGCGGACGCGAGCGACAGACGTCGCGGAGGAAATCTCCTTTTGTACGCGACGCTGCGATGAAATTCATCGCGGACGCGCGTGGACGTGATTCTTCTTTCCTTTGTTACGACGGAGTTGATTGGGAATTGGGTTTTATGGAGAAAAGAGTAATGTTTGTCGCGAATATCGCCGGTTATTCGTCTGTGGACCGTAGAAGCTATATTTCCCGAATAAATCTAAGGGACAAGATTCGCGAGACTTCAGAAGGGATGCAAGTTTCGAGTAAAAGACGATACACCTTAGAGAATCTTTACTTTTCAGCGGAAAAATGAGTTGTAGATGAGATAAACGATTCGTCCGCATTTGTAACAATCGTTCGTTATACAGCGTCTGCTCCGCATTTTTGGCACACATCGAAGGAAACAGTCCCGAGCGAAGCGAAGCGTCGCGTGAACATGACTGCGGCCTTTAAGACGTTAACGACAGGGTCAATACTCGGGAAAATTAGAAAGCCTCCGTTGATTTTCGCGATCTCCCGACAACGCTCGTTTCTTTCTGTGCTTCGCCGGTGTCGCGCGACGCGTGAACGCTCGGCTGGTCGCTCGAGCGTTGCCTCGCGACTATTAACCCTTCGCGGACGAAGATTCTTTACAGTATACGAAACCTTCCACGGAATGCTTAAATAATAGAGAATAATTTCCTACTGTTTAATTAGTTCAATTATTTACCTGCGACTCAATATTCGCGTCGGCATTCGTTCTCAAAGGGTTAACCCTTTGTACTCCGCTTCAATCAATATATATAGATATATCCACTAATTTTACTTATTAACAACTTCGTACAAACTCATAAATTTCGCGCTCAACGTGTTAACGCATTGCGGACCGGTAACGAGAAATCTCGTTTTTATATGAAGACACTTAGCTATGCAACTTCGCTGATTACCACAGCATAGAAAAAACCTACAATTTAATTCGAATTGACTATCTATTTAAAATATATTCCACAACAATATATCTGAGTTTCTCTATGTACAGTGGTATAAGTTGACCTCAGTGAAAATTGCCATCACAATTAAGTTTTCCGAAAATCGGCCGGTCCGCAGTGTGTTAAGGGTCAGTGTTTCCCAGAGAACGGTGCCAGGCAAATGGGTTAAGGGTTCACGGATAAAAGAGATTCGTTCGGCCGCCGTTCCGCCGTGAAAGACCGCGTCCCACTTCGCGGTGCGTGCCGGGAGTGATTCCGTGGGCCACAAAGAAATCGTTTCCCTCGGCCGGGCAGTTCCGCCTAAGCCTGATTCGTATTCAGCGCCAGTGGGCATCGACGTCCAATGCCAATGTGGCATCTTGTGATACTCGGATCGGCCGTCCGTTCCTCGGAGACACACAGTGCGTCCAAGAAACCCGTGGCATCTAAATCGTCTCCCTCCCGCCGCGGCCGACGCCGCGCGAGCGCGCGACAACTTCGCGACCGGGGGCCCTGTTAACGCGCTCACCCGCGCGCCGCTGCACAGTGTCCCGCTGACGTCGCGATCGAATAAAATAACCGCGATCGATCCGTCCCATCGTTAAAAAATAAAACGTGCGAGGCGACCGGCCTGTCCGTCCGCCGCTGCGTCGTCGGACGATCGGAGGGGTGATCTCGCCGAAGTAGATTTCGTCGAAGCATAGACAGTGGATTTGTCGGAAGCGAATTCTAGAACAGATCTCGCGATCGCGAGTTTGTCGGAAGATTTCGTGTAATGCAGAGGCATCGGTAACCGATCGGCTGTTGACCGTTTCTCAGGGAAACGCGAATAAGGGTTTTAAATGTAATCGTTTCTTGATAGCGCGATAAGTATGCTACAGCGTAGATTTTTGTATGAACGATATTGTTTATCGTGGAAACTGACGTTGGATCCCGAACGGCAGCGTGCAGTTAAAACGGTCCTCGTCGCGTTAGTATCGCGAACGTGATACTAATTCAGAACGGTTCTCACGGCTGCTTCCGCTCGCTTATCTGATACGTTGTTTTCGTTGATCGTTTACACCAGTGGTGGTAGTGGTGCGCGAGGCGTTCGATCTCTAAACAGAGAGATATTACTCGCGGAACTCGACGCAGGAATAACCACGGATATTAAAATAACTCGAAGATTCCGTCTTTGATAATCGTTAAAAAGATACTGAGGAATTTAGAATGAAATTAATGAAAATTAACTTTGATCGATCAGATTTTATGTAGGCAAATTAATATCTCAATTGTAATTTTCGTAGGAAAATACAGAACAGATTTTGGTGGCCAATAGTGTTCCAGCGTTAATGATTAAGTAACGGCGAAATTCAGATAAAATCGATGTGAAAGGAATTCTGTTTAACGGGTGACAGGTTAAAGTACATTTGCAACGAATAACGCGCGAAGAAGTGAATCGATGGACAAAATGTAACGTGAAATGCACGATCGTGTCCCAGAAAATGTGAAACTTGTTCGTTCTGTCGTGTACAAAGTGATACGCGTGTGCTGAACCGAACGATCTTAAAATGTGCTTCATATGTTGCCTGTTGATCTCGATGTTCAATTACTTCCTCGTCGCGGCTGGTGAACTGTGCCCGAGGATAACGGTGTGAGGAGGGACCGAACATGGCGAGTTCGCGTTAACGCTTGAACCACCGAAATATTTCACGCGATCGATATGTACTTGTTGTAACAAGCACCGGGGCACATTTATTTCGTTGCGTGTTCCCATTGATACTCGATTGCATTGTGTAAGTGAGACTATTAATTACTTGACGTCCAGCTATTTTTCTTACACGACGCTGTTAACGAGCTTCGAGTCACGCGTTAATACTGTTCTCGTTCGATCGTCAACAGACAACTTTTATCATTCAATTCTTCGCGATAAAAACTTGGCATTTATATAATTTAAATAAAAGTCCAAGAATCAGTGAAATTAGGGGATTCGTTTCGAAGAACTCTTCGCGCGTGAAAAATTATGTAATAATCAATCTAATCGTTATAAGTAGATCATATTTACAGTTGTATACGATTCCTATAATAATTCATAACTTATTAGAACTGAATTCTGATGTTCAATTATTAGTGATCGCGAAGCGAGACAAGTTGAAGCTACTTATCTCGATCGGTACAGTGGTTCTAGTGTTAATCTCACATAATCGAACCTCCGAAGATCTCTTTCGACGAGCGTCGAGTCTCGGAACCGTCGATGATTGCCCGAGTTCCCTGAAGACTCTTCCAGCGAAGCCAAAATGGCGACCTGAGGAGCGGAGAACTCGAGGACCCCCTTCTGGTACACTTTTCCGGTTGAAATGACCGAGTGACCGCGTGAAGTCTCGGGAGAACGAGAAACAATCGAAATGCTGTTCCGCCGGCAGACCAGCGAACCGACCGGAAGTGTCGCGAAGAGCCCCGGTACACCGATGGCTCACAGCACCAGCTCGTCTGGTATCTTATCGAGCTGGTACTCGAAAATAACGACGAACGTGAAGAAGAGGCAGCCGTTCAGCCCGAAATCCCTGTTGAAGAAAGCGTTGGTACTTATTCCCCGCGTTCCTCGTTCCGGTCTTTGCCATGGAGATCGACGATTAAGCCGGTCGTTCGGCAAAGTGATTAATTCTGTGAAAGGAAGCGCGAGGGAATTCGATGGAACTGTGTATTTCGAGAGCTAATTGAGCGGCTTAGCGGTAAAACGGAAACAGTCGTCTTTACAAACGTTTGACGGATCGAACTCGAAATTGATTTAGTCGTCGGTAGTTTACCAATGAAATGAAAGTTAAGAGACATAGAAATTTGAAAGTTTCATCTCTTCGTGAAATCACGCGCATACGTGGAACGCTAATCAACCCTGCTACCACTGAAATAAAACATTCGAAAATTGGAGTTAATCGCTTTGATCCCCGATCAACACTCGCACTTCTCAACGAAGTAACGCCACCGGAAGCGGTCCAAACAACTCCCAAACGTCAACGTTAAGACTAATTTCACGTTTCCGTTTGTTTCAGTTGCCTGTCGTCGATCCTTTCTTGGAGAAGGTGTCGCTCTCTGATCTCAGTAAGTACTCTTCATTGCTCTTCCATCAGCTAGATTGATTGTCTCTGGGATCGATCCATTAACATTAACATCAACGAGCCAACACCTATCAAGTCCCCTCTAAAATTCGAATGAAACTGGAACGCAACCCAAGACACTTAGATATATTCATATACTCGCAAGATCTGCGATTATGATCTATGTAGAGGGCAAAATCAGAAACGGAAACAAACGAGGATCCCAGAGGAGTCACTCTAACGTGCTCTCTTTTCCGAACAATCGTAACATTTCCGGAAAGTCGGAACGATGTCACAACGTCGCGCGGAAAGCGGAAACGATGTTTCTAATCTCGAGGGCGGTAACTAACGACGTTTATCTGGCCGGCCGTTTCCGAGGCGAAATCAAATTTCTCCGTCGGCGGGGCGTCGATGACAATGCGGTGACGGATTGTCCTTTCAACTCCTTCCCGAGGAGACTTCCCTTTCTTCGGGCGCATTAGTTCCTTTCGCCGGCCTGTCTCGCGCCATTGCGTTTTCTTGTCGCGGCGAACGGCTGAGGGTGATAAAACGCTTCCCTCGCTCACTCGCTCACTCATTCCCTATCGCGAATGCCTCCCCGGCGAAGGAGTAAATCGATGGAGCCTGGTAATGTATTTATAAATAAGTGGGGGTGCGTGAACGAGGGGAACGCGGCGGTTCGATCGCAGTCGGACAGAGATCATCGGATCTACGAGTCGCTTCCATGGCGAACCGTGCTGCAGTTGCCATTCTTCGTTCGATCACCTCGAATTGTGCGGATTTATGAATGAAATGGAATCACTGAATTCGTAGACGATGCTCGTATCAGTTTCTAGAGCGAATCGCGTAGCAAGTACCTACTCAATTCGTGTTTGTTTTGAAAACTATGCAACTCATATAAGAATCGATAAGTAAACAAATGAGAATTAATTAGTGAATACTAAACTAGGCATCGGATTTGAAATCTCACGAGTACGAAAGTTGTATCCATTTTCACACTAATCTGCTAATTGCTGGTATGGTTACGCGTAACTGATCGAAACTCGGACAGAACTGTAAAACACAGTGATGGATCTTTCTCTACGCTGTCCTGTGAACGCGGAGCACGGTCTAAACTGCGAAAGGATTAAGTCGGAGCGGGTAGTGCATCATCCCACGTGCCCGGCGATCCGTTTACGCGGATCTCCCCTCGAAACGACTTGGGTTTCCCCGGCTTTCTCTACGGGTATCCTGGCCCGAGTGTCGTGGGAGTATGGTGCTTGCCGATCGATGAATTCCCGGGAGGTCCAGCTCGCTCGCGCGCCACCGGAAACCAGACGAAAGGATTCAGGAAGAGCCGCGAGGATCGGCGGGTATCGGTCGGGTCGCGGCCAATGTTGCTTATTCGTCAACCGAATAAGAAACGAGTCGCTCGGAAGACAATGCGATTAAGTCGGTTTTCAGATATTCTCTGGTTTTTTTAACCCTTTCACTCGGAAATTTTCCGCTAAAAATGTTCAACGCTTTCCGGTAGAACATAGACAACTCTTTGAAACTAATGGGAAAACATACGCAACTCGAGAAACAAAGCTGTTTTATAGAAATATTTCACATATCGTTATACGAAACTTAATATTATATACAACACTTTAACCTTGTATATCAAATTTAATGACTGACGGTCACCTTTCGAGTGCAAAGGGTTCGTTTTTATGGAATAAACAGTATTCCTTTAGGTATTCGAGGATTTGCTTGTTTCTAAATCAGAAATTAGATCATAGCTTCTGAATACGTTGTGTAATAATTTCAGAAGTGAAAACATTTTTCTCAGTTTTGCTTTCACTGAACCGCATGGCTTCCGAGCGACTCGAATAACGGGTAGTAAATAACGAGTAAAGGTTCACGCGATGTTTTCATAAAATATTCAAGAATAAAGCAGGACACCTACCGTCCGAACTAATCGGAAGACGAATCGACGCTTCGTCTAAACGACGATGCACCGTATCGACGAGGCGAAGCGATAGAAAAGCGTCGGGCAACGAGAAGGGGGTTGAAAGCCAAGCTCAATGGACAAGCTCGGTTCTAACAAGGTCGGCGGGATTTCGTGCCGTGACGCGTTTCGTATTTAGGTCTGGGTCATGGGGCGGGCTGCGTTCGATAACACGGAGCCTCGCCACGTCGGTTAATCGAGTTCCGTTTCGCTCTTTCCTTTCGTTCCCTCGTTTTCGGTCGCCGTTCCTCCGTGGTTTCCGGTATCGGGACGTTCTCCGGTCGCGTCTGGTCCCGGTCTAATCGATCGTCCCGTTTCGCCGACGCACTGTGCGGCCGAACGGCCGTTTTCTGGACGAAACGCGATATCTTAGGTGTGAGTATTCTGAACGTTGTGTCCGTGATCCGTTGAACATTGCGAGTAGATGGAAATAATTGATCGAACATTAGGGAGAGCTGAGCTATTGGGACATTCCGGTGCTTCTCGATGTCCAATTGTTATTCCGTAATTATATATAATTGTGACATTTTGGTTCCTTTGGGTGTGTAGGTTGACGATTGTATTTGCGTGTCGATAATCTGGTGACTATTACTCGCGGAGTAATTATGAATTGAATAATGTGGGTAATTAGGGGTTGGAAGTTTCGCGGAAATGATGCGTGAATGATTAGGTACTGGGAATTCCGTAAGAATTACGCGTGAGTAGTTGGGTGCTAGGAAGTTGACAGGAATCACGCGTGAACGATGAGAGAGCAGCGAAGTCAACTTGGCAAATTTGAGCGACGGCTGATTCCATTTTCCAATGGTTGAACCTAGACCTCGACCTATATAGTTGCATTATAAATAAGCGCTCCCTTAGCGATGCCGCGGGAAATCGTGCGGAAACACGTTTAAACTTGTGCCCCGCAGCGAAAGCTCCGCGAATAATTTTAAATAACTTGCGAAAGTAACGAAAGGCTGGATGAACAACGATTTATGGTAATGCCTTTAATATTCTGCTGACGACCGCCGCGAATTCTTGCTTTTCCTTCGGCCGGGACCGTTCGAACGTTTTCAATTGAAATTTCGAATTAACCCTTTGCACTCGAGAGGCGCCTTTCAGTCGTCATTTGATTTGACCCAAGAAAATTGTAAAATTGAAAATTCAGTATTAAGTTTTATGTAATGTACGAACACATGGAACATCGAAATAAAATAGTTCTTTATGTTAATTGCAAAAAATATCATTGACATTTCATCATAAGATAATGAATATTGAGAAAAATATTCTCGAGTGAAAAGGGTTAAACAATCTACAATCTATCAATGGGAACTCTTCTAAAACGTGGAATACGTCCCAACGAGATGATTTCTACGAGAATTCGAGCGATTTATATAGTGTCGCTTATCCTTTGATAGCAAAAATCAACGGTGTTAGAAACAATGATTGATCATTTGATATATCATTCGGTTAGTAAGGTGTTAAAGAGTGTAACGACGACGGAACGATGAAATTCAGTTTTTCAATGAATTTCTATCGTTCAATTGTCCAGGGAAAACGTATCGCGAACAATATGCTCTAAGCGTTTGTCCCGACATTTCCACGGCTACGCAATAATAAGCCGGATAATAGTTATGTTATCGATTAGCCATGAGTACGTTCCAGCTGTGTTCATTGCTAAAGCAGGATAATCGATAGCTGTCGCGGCAGATGGAATTCTGATCGAATTCTGTCCACGTGAATTTATGCCCCGTTATTTTTGGAAACACTCTCATTCACCTTTACGGCCTTCCAGTTTCTCGCGGCGGAGCTTCAACGTGCCTGATCGGAACGTGTTAGAGAACGTGTTAGTTTCGGTAATAAACTTCTTCGTGCATCCCATGCAATTTTCGAATTTCCCATAAACGCGTCAGTATCCTCAATCCAGCTATTATCAGTAGAACCATCTATGATTTAATACGATTCATACGTAATATAAAAACTGTAACAGATCGTTCTCGGTTTGTTCAGACGTTCGTTACAGTATTCGAGTGAAACTATTTATTTTCAAGATCATTTCGAATGTTCGATGCTTCGAAGATACCGATGATTGCAAAACAAACGACTGGTAGGGTAGTTCTAGTGTTATATAATATTCATAATACCGAAAATACCTCTTTCATGGCATTTGGTATTATGTAACGTCAATTCAGCTCATAACGTTGGACACGTACGATGGAAAAAAGTGAATAGACTATGGTTCACCATTTCTAAAACAATCGATACGGTGTTTAAGGATTCACCGTTGCAGAAGGGGAATTCCATTCGGTTTGTAATTAATAAATAATTGAACAACAAGCTCCGTTTGTCTGGCGGTAGACAATGGACGGCCGCCGAATCGATAGCCGCGACCCCAATTAATTCGGAAACGCTTAATGCCATCGAGCTTTCGCGTGCCTCTTCAGTTTCTTTAATAACCTTCTTTCCCTCGCGATTCTCGAACTCGTTCCTTGGCCACGCTCGAGAATTCTATTGACGGAAACCTTTTGAAAGTCCCCCGGCGGAGCCGTCCGTGCGCGTTTCGCGCGCTGGACGCTCTGTAATTTCGAAACGCGACGTGTTTCGTCTTTAATGAACCGCCCCGCGACATCTCGATAACGAGCTCGCCCAGACGGAAAATAGAGTGTAACATTTTTCTAATTAGATTTCGCGAGCTTTCACGGTGGAAATGCTTGATCACAGAGACACGAGGAAAGGCAGCTTTTCTGTTATTTAATTTCTGTTTCTCCTTTCTCTCGTTAAACAGTCGACATTTCGCGTAGGTTGAAATCTGTTGAAAAATCCATTCTGAATTCAAAATTGAAACTCATTCTCGGAAACGGAGGATCAAAAAATCCACGAGGACTTTTCATTGCTAGATATATACTACACATGCATAGGGTTTCACTAACACTTTGACTGCCAAGTAACCACCAAAACTCCCATGCCATCGAAACAGTTCTCTTAATGAAGCAAAAACGAAAAAGGCAAGATTCTTCGTAACGATTACTTTACCACATTCCTTATATCTCACGCAA